GTTGTTCTGCAACAAGAGAGAGAGAGAGAGAGAGATAGAACAACCTGTGTTGTTCTGCAACAAGAGAGATAGAACAACACAACTGTCCTGCAACAGAGAGAGAGAGAGAGAGAGATAGAACAACCTGTGTTGTTCTGCAACAAGAGAGATAGAACAACACAACTGTCCTGCAACAGAGAGAGAGAGAGAGAGAGATAGAACAACCTGTGTTGTTCTGCAACAAGAGAGATAGAACAACACAACTGTCCTGTAACAAATGAGAGAGAGAGAGAGATAGAACAACACAATTGTTCTATAACAAGTGAGAGACACAGAACAACAGGTTGTTCTGTAACGAGAGAGAGAGAGATAGAACAACAGAGGTTGTTCTGTAACGAGAGAGAGAGATAGAACAACACAGGTTGTTCTGTAACGAGAGAGAGAGATAGAACAACTCAGGTTGTTCTGTAACGAGAGAGAGAGATAGAACAACTCAGGTTGTTCTGTAACGAGAGAGAGAGAGAGATAGAACAACACAGATTGTTCTGTATCAAGTGAGAGAGAGACAGAACAACACAGGTTGTTCTGTAACAAGAGAGAGAGACAGAACAACCTGTGTTGTTCTGTAACAAGAGAAAAAGAGATAGAACAACGCAGTTGTTCTGTAACAAGAGAAAAAGAAATAGAACACCAAAGGTTGTTCTGTAACAAGAGAGAGAGAGACAGAACAACACAGGTTGTTCTGTAAGAAGAGAGAGAGATATAGAACAACATAGATTGTTCTGCAACAAGAGAGAGATAGAACAACATAGATAGGTTGTTTTATAGCATGACATAGAAACAGAACAACACAGGTGGTTTTTAGCATGACATAGAGACAAAACAACACAGATGGTTCTGTAGCATGACAGAAACAGAAAAACATAGGTGGTTCGGAAACATGACAAAAGAATAGAACAACACAGGTGGTTCAGTAACATGACAGAAATAGAACAACACAGGTGGTTCGATAACATGACAGACATAGAACAACATAGGTGGTTTGATAACATGACAGACATAGAACAACATAGGTGGTTTGATAACATGACAGAAACAGAACAAAACAAGCGGTTCAATAACATGACAGAAACAGAACAACACAGGTATTTCGGTAACATGACAGAAATAGAAAATCACAGATGGTTCGGTAACATGACAGAAATAGAAAATCACAGGTGGTTCTGAAATATGACACAGAAATAAAGATTTACAAGTATATTTGAAAAAAAACTGCTTTGGACTATTAGAAGTTAATACAGAATAAGTAAAAGGCCTAACACCCCCCAGAAGATGGATGTAGTTGTAAAAATGAAACATTTCCAGCCAAGTTGGTAGATTGCAAGGATGAAAAAGAAAAAACTTGATGTTGGTCAGCCAGTTGGTTGTGTAACTTGCTGCAATAAAGTAAAGCCTCCTATATGAGATTGGTAAGTAAGCTGTAGTACCTTAAATTGTTTGAGAAAATGGAATACTAGTCCACAGTAGTTTAATTTTCAATAACTTTGCTAATATTTGTAGAATGATGAATTTTAACTGTATGAGTGATAAAGACTAATAACTTGGTGTTCATAAAATGCTGATAACATTTCTCATTAAAGTAATTTATTTCTGCTGACAACCAGATAATGTATTCTGCAAGCTTAAAGTTATGAAATATATATTCAAAGAAAACAATAAAGAAATCCTAGTAACTAAGGCAACATTTTCTAGTGTTCCTAATGGTAGATGGAAGAGCTTAGCTGGTTTAATGCAAGTCTTCTGCAACGTGATCAATACTCATAACATTGTGATTGCACTCTCCAATTTCACTAGCAGTGTCAAATCTATAAAATAACAAGACAAGGACTTTAATTTGAAGATGAACAAAATAATTGTGAACTATATAATTAAAAACAGCAAGTCCTTTGGAAGATTAAGAATAATGCCAGAGATATTTCAAACACATATGAATGGGAATAAAGGAAATTGGTTTAAAAAGCACAGATTCTGAATTTTCTTTTTTAAGGTTTGGGTGGGGGGGGGGGACATGATATTTGACATATGAAAAGTCTATCAGGTCTATATATTATGTACGTTTCCTGGAAGATGGGGTTCATGTACTTGACACCCTTGATAACAGTCATAGTCAAAATTAACTGGCTTACAAGAATTTGCTTTCTTGACCTTCGGTAACTTATTTAGCAAAGTCAACCAGGTGAAAAACAAAAAGGGATAAATCCTTAATAGTAACACAAGGTGCTGAATAAAGAAGACAAAGTGATCATCAGAGATGATGCAAAGACCTTGTTAGAAAACCTTTCATTTTTGATGAACATTAAATCTATGACTACTTAAAGCTAACAGTTCGTATATGTGTGTTCTGTAAGTAATGTTTACTCTATTATTTGTATATTGTTATTTTCATTAATAGGAAGAATGTGTATCTAATTTTATCATTTTACATCCTGTTATCACATTTTTATTATAAAGCCAATTTGCATTGTTAGTTTAATATATTTATTTAGGACAAACCTAAATCTCCTAAGCTAGATAAACCTTATCAGTGAGGGTACCCAACAATTCTAATCTTTATAAATAAGAACAGAAAAAAACTATACTCAAGTTAATATTTTCCTAAATTGAAAATGTGTTTCCAATAATACTTACCTCCATTGACACTCTCCCACCCTTCCTGCCCACTAAGAGCCGGTATTAAAGACTGGGATGGTGTCAGTCTCGAAAAAGTGATACAATTATCTGAATGAGGTGCTTATATACAGAAAGCATCTACATAGATCATGGGTGTACCAAGATAAGATTGGTACTCGAGTACCCTGAATTTAGTTGCTCTATCAAGGGTTGGAATTAAGGGGGTCTTGGCCCTTATATCCCACCTTGGTGGCTATGGCAATTGGACTGAAACATTACACACACACACACACACACACACACACACATATATATATATATATATATATATATATATATATATATATATATATATAGTATATAGTATAGTTATAGTTAGTAGTTATTAGTTAGTTAGTTAGTTAGTTGTTGTTGGTTGGTTGGTTGGTTGGTTGGTTGGTTATTATTATTA